GTTTGCTTAATTGCTTGCTTGTTATGTGGTTTTGGAATCCTCCGATTGGCTATGTAAAAAACACACCACCGGCATGTAAAATACGCACACAACTCATAATCTCAAAACTGGGGGAGTTGAACTCGCAAATGTGCAATTTGGGTTGATCATGGAAAACTGCCAAAACATACACCCTATCCCCGGCATACGCGCATCCCTGCTTAAGTTGATCTCTGAAAAGGGCTTAGGATAATCATATTCCAACTTTCTGGGTTTTACCTTAATGTCATAGTCCTGAATATGCTCCGTATCAAAGGATAGCTGGGCTTAGGATAGTGGTTCTGCGCCTTGGTACTTGGGAGAGTATGATATAGGATTATTGGATACGTGGACCCGTTTAGGGGAAACCCCGAACCCTAGCCTTAAATCCACAACCCTGAAACCTATACCCTATAAACCCACCCCCAAAACCCTTCACCCTCAAAACCTATACCCTAGATCCCTAGACCCTATATCCTAAACCCTTAATTAATCTCAGAACCCTGGAACAATTTATTTCGTCATGCGCCGGACGGGCACAGGGCATCTTTCTCAAACTTCGGTGCGTCAGGAACAAGACAAAATACTTGAATACGGGTTTGGCTTTTAGGCCCTACATAAGCAGCTCTACAACATGCAACCAGTATAATACTTAACCTTAAAATGGGATTTAAGGTTTGGGGTCTATAACGGCTCCCAAGTAAGGGATCCCTGTTTAGGCAGAACCTGCAAAACAATCCAAATAAGAAGCCCTGTAACGTGCAGCCGTTTTTAACCCTGAAAATTCACGTGTCGAATCTAGCCTAGATGGTCAGTCTGTGAAGGAGAGGGACTCAGGAAGGTCCTCCAAATACAGTAGAAGGTTTGCGTAGCAATGGTATCCTGAATATGAATTGGGTTAAACCAAGAGAGGACGTGCAGTGGAGACTACAGGTAATTATAGAGTTCTAGATGCTGGTGGCATCCCGGTGCAGACCCCGAAACCAAGCCCGACAATCCCATAACGTTATGCCTTTCGGGGTTTAAGCGGGGTTTAAGGGTTTTTTTAGGCTTTCGCCCAACGCTACGTGAACAAACCTAAGCTAATCTCTCAACGCTCCCCTAAACCCTAAGCCCCTGAAACCCTAACTCCAAGTTCCGGAAGCCTGCACACCTCACTAAACCGCCCGCACGACTTCCATTCTTCGGTGTAGGGTTTAGGGTTTAGGAGTTTAGGGTTTAGGGTTTAGGAGTTTAGGGTTTAGGGTAGTGGGTTTGGGCTTAGGGTTTAAGGTCTCCCCCATGCGATTTCCTGTAGCTGCAGTAGCCTTGACAAATTGACAAACGGAACAGCACCCCGGTCGTCTGTCTCTCATGAAGGATTAAGGTTCCTGTAAGGGTACCTACCTAGTCCTGTCTCGGATTTCCTGAAAAACGATCCTGAATATGGAAATGTTTAAACACCCCAAAAAACAACTACAATGCAGACTACAAGTATTATCAGGTTCCTTCAAGAGGTGTCTCTCATGAAGCCTATATATACCCTAAACCCCGAACCCTGAGTTTCGGGCTCCTTAAAGAGTACCTACCATTGGGTTCCTTCAAACGCTACGTATCTGGGTGTACTAAGACGTAGTCTTGAGTGCGGAGCTTCTGGGGCTGTTGGCTGGGAGTTGCGAGGGTTTGGGATTCAGGGTTTGGGGCCTGGGGCTTGGAGTCTAGGGGTTCAGGGTTCAGGGCTTAGGGTTGAGAGTTTAGAGAGTTTAGAGGTTTAGTGTTCAGGGTTTTAGGGTCTGGGGAATTAGAGTTTTGGAGTTCTGGGTGAAAGCGGGACGCTTCAGTTCGGCGCGCTTTGGACGGATATGACTATCCTGAATGCGCGATTAAGGCCGAGGTAACTCTACCACGGGACACATATAAGCACAAATATAGCTATGGTTGATGATATAAACCCTGCATTGCCTCAAGGACCCTAGCTCATGGGAATTATGGTATATTCCTTATTATGGGTAATGCAGGTTTTTGTATCACCAACCGTAGGATACAAGTCTCCCAAGACTCCAAGCAGGATTCGGGTGAGCCAAACCCGATAGTTTTCCCATCAATGCTGTGGTTGGCTTTGAAGACTCCAGGGGCTTCAACTCTACCTTTGCTCTGCACTCTTCTACAAAAAACAATGTCTGGAGGTCGAGGGGATCGTTTTCGGACATAGAGGTTGTCTAGAGTGTTCCTGTATCCCCAAACCCTACAAAATAGTAGGTTATGACCCCTGAATTAGGCTAGAACCCTTAATACCATAGGTTTTCGATTCCCTTGAGGTTTCGTTAGGGGTTGGAGAGAAGATCTCCGCAGGAGCTGCGCCACGAATTCGGCCAAGGGTCGGGCTGTGCTTGAAACGTAGTTTACCTTAAAGAAACTACCCAAACCCGACTTCTTTTATAGGGTCTTATTATAAACCCTAATATGAAATTTATAGGAAACCTACGAACAAGCAGGTTTTGGTAGGCCTTTATACCACAGACTTTAACCCTGAAGCTGAACTATAATAAACCCCAAGCCCTGTAAATCCTGCAGGCACCCACCGAGCTTCAGAACTCTAGTGGTCCCTTCTGCGGGGGTTCTTATGTTCAGGATCCTGGCCATTGAGTACGGTCGATGAGGCAGCTTTCATTTCTTGAAACCCTAGCCGAGCTTGCGGCTTGGAGTGTCAAGCTCTAGTCTGTAGGGTTTAGAAGTTTGGGGTACCAAGGGTCGTAACCGTAGCCATCGCGGGGCAAATCCAGACCTATGATACGCATTCGTAAACATGATCAGGGCATCATCACGATCGGCCTTGACCAAAGTGATCATAGTTTCTAGAGCAGAAAGGAGGAGCGATAAAGTAGTCACGACGAGCAACACAGCAACGGAGCATGCGCAACCCGAAGGAATACTATGTGTAATTATTCCGGCTTCTACATAGGGCTCAAGTGCGCATTCATGGCTCTTGGGGTCAAGGGGTTTAGGGCTTTGGCTTTCCGTTTGGGGTGTACTCTTCCGGGTTTGAGGCGGTGAGAGTCTTGCTGGCTTCCCTGGTAACATGTCCTTGATTGCATAAGGATCCTACTATTCACGCTTCTATTGAAGGCTTCTGATGTACCTCAGAGTCAAGAATTCGCAATATCTGACATGGAACTGCACGTGACCCGTCCGCTTGGCACTGTTCTCTGCACATCAGCGCCTAGAAGGCACCTACTTCGGGCTGTTCGATAACTTACAGCAGAAATCGACCCTGGCTTGCTTAACCTGTCTACGCAGCACAAGGTCGTGCTGTCATATAGGGATTACAGCGCGATACTGTTGCCAGACATTCAGAGCCAACGGGATGGATGCCCCCGACTGGTAAACGCGAATGAGGCCTTACCATAAGGCTCTAAGAACACATCTTTGGAGACCTGCAGCTCTAAACTAATCTGGGTACATCCCTTACACTTGCACCATATCAGGGATTTTCTACACTTAGTGTAGTTGTTCAGTACCCTGGAGAAACTAAAGCTTAGCCTTTGGGATCATCGAGCGGTTCTAACATCCCCAAAAAAGTTGAAGGTTATACGTATTCTACTAATGACCCTAAATGCCGAACCCCCCAACCCTAAACCCCCAAACCCCAAACCTACTACTAAGATCCCCAACCCCCTAAACCCTAGCCCTAAACCTACTGCTCGCCAAGCGAGCTCTTGGGAGGCTTTCCACGGACCGCAAGGAGATGAAAAACAGAACTACTGCTAAGAACCCTAAACCCCTGAACCCTAAACCTACTACTAAGGTTCTTGAACGCCTGGACCCTAAACCTACTGCCAAGGTTAAAAGATACCATCGAAGATCTGCTTGGAGGTTCACAGGTATAAGTCAGCCAACTATACTTATAACCCGTATTCAGGGCCTTATAAGCCCACTTATGACTACAAATGAACCTCCAAGTGCATCCCAAACAACTAAACCCCTACACCGCCCCTAAGCTGTACAACTTCCACTCTTCGGTTTAGGGTTTAGGGGAGCTCAGGGTTTCGAATTAAGGGGTTAACCCATGAACCTCCAAGTAGGGAACAGGGGTTTAGGGTTTAGGGTTTAGGGTTTAGGGTTTAGGGTTTAGGGTCTCGTGAAACTTCCGGTGTCCGCTTCCCCAAGTTGCGAGGCGAACCTGGGTCGACAAAGGTTCCATGAATGGTTCCTATGGACTTCTACAGGGCCCCGTTAAAGCGATCTATGGGGATTCTAAAGGGGTATAGGATTTAGAGGCTACTTGGAGGTTCATGGGTACCTACCTTGTTGGGGTTCTTACTATAATACTCTAAACCCCACTATGGACTTTATGGGGGCCCTGCGAAAAGTAGGTTTTGGTGGGCTCAGATATGCGTTTCTATGGTCCGGAGGCGTTTCTGCGGGATTCTCAGTTCAGGGGTCCCTTGCTTTAGGGTTCAGGATGTCTATACGGGTCCAACAAGGGTTGGGTTCTTGCAAATTTAAAAGTGCCAACAGGGCTCCTTCAAACGGGTTGCTGTCAAGCTTCATGCAAGAACGCCCTTTGGCATTCTTTTGGGATGGGTTCGTGAAAGTGTGCGACTAGGGAGGACACCTTGTCTTTTGGCGGCTTCGGCTTTGGACAACATAAGGAGTATCATTACCGAGTATTCAAACCCTTACATTACATCCCAGACTCCTGAATCCTTATCTTACACCCGAAACTCCTAAACCCCAAAACTCGTACACGCCAAATGCTGAGAGTTTAGTCAAAGGGTTCAGCGGCTCCCAGTCACTAACCCGTATGCCCATTATACTTTCACAACCCAAGTTCCCAAGTATCAGATTCATGCAAACCACATAAAACCGTGTAACCCTCCTCACGCTCCGACAAGACTGGTGTAGAATCGTAAAGCACCAAAACCACGTACCGAATTTTCGGGTCTTATGGATCATCAGGAATACTCACGACTGAGGCCACCACGAGGCACCCCCGTGGCACCCTATCTGGCGGCCTCCGGTGGGTTCCGCGAGGCCTCGCATGTCAACGCTTCGATTGGGGCTCAGGATATTGGGGCTGGGGGTTGTAGTTTTGGGACTTGGGGGCTTAGGTTCTGGGTTTTAATTTGTAAGGGTTATGGATGCTAGCTCAATGTAGTTTAATTCGAATTAGGGTTTTTAGGTTATCAAGTTCAGAGCTATGATGAAAACATGCCCAACCAGTCCGAACTAAACCCCAAGCTTCAAGATGGAGCCCGATAAAACCTTATAGAAGCCCTGAAACAGCCCTACAGCCTTGCACAAGCCCCTACAAAACAGCCCGTTGTTAGCCTCTGGGTCTTTGGGATTCTAGAGGAATTAAAATAAAACCCAACAAAGCTTGAAGGTTACCGACTACTAAGACAAGTACTCCCGGGAGCGACCCTGAAAGGAAGGAACCTTTAAGATTAAGGGAGTACTCGAGGAACCCTTAAGGGTACGTGGACGCTTCTTTCGCGTCAGTTAAGGGTTCCGTTAAGGGTTCTACACCGGTTTAGGATTGGTTTAAGGGTACGCTGAAGCTTCCTTCCACTATGGGCTATTAGACCTTATGGGTACCCTAATCTACCCTTAATAGGGTCCTAATAGGGATCTTTAGGGTCTAACAGCCCATAGTGGTTTAATTGTACCTTTGAGGCTTCCTTTGCAGGACTCCTTGCCGAACGTCGCGGATCTCGCCTGGACCCATGGAAGTGACATCGGCACGCCTTGGGGGCAGGAAAAGAGATACCTAGCTAGGGAGTTGGTAGAATTTTTGTACAGGGTTTGTAAAGGGAACTCCAGAAAGTTGGAATATGGTTTCAGGGTAGGATCCCCTACAATTTACCTTAAAGGGGTTACGATAATCATATTCCAACTTTCTGGCTTCTACTGTACGTAGATAGGGAGTTGGTAGAATTTTTGTACAGGGTTTGTACTGTAAAGGGTTTTAACATTTGGGGTTCAGGGGTATAAGTGTCAAAAGAAGAAGTCGCGATGTGTTTGCCATCAGGTCTCAGAAAGAGACTAACTGAGCTGGATGCAAAACTCTGTGTACAGGCCTGGCTTTGGCAACGCGGGGCACCGCCGACCACCCGGCCAAACGGCCCAGGCAAACATAACACAGGCAAATATGAGATTCTAGCCAACCCAGTCGTATGCAGTTGGAATATTTTAACGGAAGCTAGCAGTCTAGTGCAGATTCCCCATGCATCTTGATCGGTTTCATGACCTCCGAACACACTCGCAAGCAACAGTTGTTGCAGTACTGTCCCAAAGAGCTTGACAGCGTCTTGTCTTATCCCAGGCTACAAGGGAGTTTCCGAAAATGAGGGGTACCTTGTTTTCGGCTCCTTATAGTAAGGGTCCCACCATTTAGGGTACTAGATTAGGATCCCCTATATTTGGAAACTCCCATAACGCATCTCAAAATCCAGAAAAGGCCATAAACCGAAGAGCTTCAAGCTTCGGCAGCTCTGTACGTTGCACCCGAACCCTGAAACCCAAACCCTGTGCGCGAAGCCCGTGGCCCTACTTCTTGACTCCTACAACACCATACCTAAAGTCTGCAAAACCGACAGATTTTCGGCTCCGAGTGAGTTGCATACATAGCCCCCTATACAGGTAGGCTTTGGCTGTCAAGGTAGACCTTACTTGTCCAGCTTCCTAGGAAAGCCGGGTAACCTTTGGGAGTATACAGGGAGTATCACGCCAAAAATGCAGGCTACACTTTTTCTGCTATTGAGAAACCCCACGAAAGGTACGAAATCATGTATAGGTTCACGACGCGAAGCCCTAAACCTCAAACCAGTAACTCTAAACCTCTAAACCACAGACTTCTATACCCTAAACCTCTAAGCCCTAAACCCCTAAACCCCGAAACCTCTAAACCCCTAAACCTCTAAACCCTAAACCTTGCTGTACCAAAGCGTTGTGTGAACGCCCAGGCGCGAGAGCGCGAGCGGATGGCAGCGGATACGCGAGGCCTCGAAGTCGGAAACTTAGGACCCTAACCAAACTTTTCGTATATACGGAGATAGGCGGGATAGGTACACATAAATTTATCCGTTCATATAACTGTGAACACAAACGTACAAAAAACATAATTAATGACTAAAAACAAATACATATACATGCTTCAACGAAGAAAGAGTGAAATAAAGAGTATATGTACACATATGTGCACATATCGTGTTTTGCTGCTGATGGGGATGAGGGTGGTTATTTACGTCGCTACGGATTCGCAACGTTTTTTTGAGGCCGTTCGAGGAGCTCCCTGTACCCTAAACACTTAAACCCTAACCCCTAAACCCTTAAACCCCAAAGTAACCCCTAAACCCATAAACCCTAAACCATCTGGAGCTCCGTGGGGCTCTGTGTGGAGGGTTGGGGCTCGACAGGTTCGGTTTAGGGCGTAAGGGCTAGTGACGAAGATTTCGGATTTGGGATTCAAGGTTGGGTGCTTTAGCTTAGGGCCTGTGGTTTGGAGGAGCAAAGCAAACTGCATGATTACAGCGTTCCCGGCTCTTGATACCGCACGGGTGAAACTCGCAAGCCGGAGCTCAAAAGCAACCACAACAAAAGCCTCAACCGCTACATCCAAAAGAAAGCTTCACAAAAAGGGTGACCCCGACAGCCCCGGGAAAGTAGGATCCCGATTTCCGAAGACGCCTCCAGATAGGAGCATCAAAGACCTCCAGCCCCTAAACCCTATAGATTAGAAGGGGCCCCACCCTGTAATCGTGGTATAATAGGAACATAATAGGGCCCGAATATAATCCCAATAGTCACTATCATACGGTGGGGGCAGCCCCTAAAACCCTACAGAGCCAAACCTGTCGACCCCCACCTGCTAAACCTTATATTAAACCTAAACCCGGGACCCCAATCCGTGAATCCTGAACCCAAGACCTCTGTAAACCCTAAACCTAATCTAGAGGCCTTCATAATTAGAAAAGGGTTTCGGGGTACGTTATACAACAAGTACTATTATTATAGTACGCAAGTTTAAGAACTGGTACTTCTCCAGGCCTCTATATGATTTGATCAGTATTGTTGTCATTATTATCATTATAGCTACTACCATTCTTCTTCTCATTGTTCTGAAGCCTACAGGGCGGAATCCCGGCGTCGAAAAAGCTGTCGCAGCCGAGTCTGTGCCCCAAGCAAGGCGGGTGGGAACCACGGAATCTTGCCTCCAAGGGCTTAATTGTTTTTTGTGGGGTGCTTTAAACGGGCTTTGGTTTAGGGCCTAGGGGGTTTAGGGGTTTAGCGCTTAGGGGCGGAGGTGGTTGGTCTTGGCGGTCTATTCCAAAAGGCGCTTATACGGGCTTTAAAATTAGCAGAATCTTCGCCCGTTTTGGGCATTCATCCCTCCAGCCCATCACTAACCACGAAATTCCAAAAACCTTTACTCCCGATGTACATCGTATCACCACGAGCGTCTAGCCGAGACACTCACGTAGAATGCCGTTTGCAGAAACACCAAGCCACCACAGAGCCCCGACACGATCAGCAACACGCAGGTATTGCCATCACCATCACCAGTTCTGCAAGTTGAGACATGCATGGTTGCACGGCGCGTGGCATCTTGGCCGCCCTTGAGCTTTCAGGGGCCTTGTGGTCCTTAATTGTGGGCAACTATACGCATAAGGACATACGAGAGGGTCGTTTGGGCGGGTCTAGGTAACCTCCGGATCTACCGCCAGTCTCCACTGTAGTTCCTTGTGCCGCTTAACAGTTTATGTTTTCCTTAGGATCCTATCAGGGAACCCAAACACGAAAGCGCAGCAGAGACTGTTGGACTGTAGGGTTAGAGTTAGAGAGCAATTCTATCTGTGGGTTCAAGGATGATTGCTGAATCAATAATGGCTTCGAGGTGCCTACACCGGGATTGGAATCTTGAGCAGCCCCTGGATGTGATCTACAGAAACCGGGTACGCAGATCCAAGTTGGAATCTACCCCCCCTACCTTCACGTGCGCCATAGGGTCCTGACAGCTGGCAATGAAGCTGAATGCGCAGCCAAAAAACCTGAATCGGTGACTCGTAACCCGAAGCACTTCTGAATCCAAACGCGAAGCTAAGCCTGGGAAGCAGCTCCCGCGAAAAAAACCTGGAATGACATGTTCTAGACACTTGCCCCCGGCCGTTTAGTGGCTGTAGCGTTGCTGGGGCGGCCTCCGGCTAACAAGGGCTTGAAACGTGGCTATTGAGTGGTTGCATGCAGCCGGCTTTGATGTTTACGGGTCGGCATGGTTGCAAGTTTCAGGTGTGGGGTGAAACAAATGCTTGGATGAGCAGTCTGGGATTTAGGGTTTAGTCTGTGCTTCTGGTTCATAAGTATCCTACCCTACATACACCCCAGGCCCTGAACCCCTTAACATCCCTTAACCCCGAACCCTAAACCTCTTCACCCCAAACCCTAAACCCACCGTAGCAGGTTCTTTTGAAATAGCGCAGCTCATTGCCAGGGCTCTCTCCCACAATGATAATCTGAAAGATAAACAAGAAGGGTACTGGATTCAGATAGATTTTTTTCAGGTTTTCGGGGGCTAAAACGGAACTAGATTCGGATGGCTATAATAAGCCCTTCACATTGCTTTTCTGAATGCTTGCGCTTTGCCAGGCCCGGAGTATTTATTTGGGATACGAGCAGGCAAAGAGGAGCTCAACGTTCGCCTGGAACTTTTGCGCAGGAGTTTTCGTTGCAATGCTACTGCCAATGCCAGTGGTCAGTGGTTTCCGTTAGTGTGCTGATCGCATGGATGATTTCTACAACCAGAAATACAAACAAAAACCAGTCAGAGAATCAGAACGAGAAGACATCGAGATCAACTCCCCGAATGCAGGGCGCTTGTCTCACAGCCGTTTTCTCCTTGCATAGAACCGAGGCAGCAGAAGGTGTCTGTTCGACAGACATGTCTACGCAGCGACCGAAAAGAGGGTCATCAACAAAGAAGCTGCCGAAACCCTGAGATTAAAACAGTCAGTCAGGGGCTTGAAACTGAACCCCTCGGTCCTGCGCACCTTTAGCTTCAATCACTTAGACCTCAAATCTTGCGCCCATAACCTCCAGCGCCTAAACCGTAGACCGCGAGCCCTAAAACCTCTACCGCAAGCTCAGCGCTCAAAGCAGCTGCTCCGGTAACAGCTCAAGCGGCTTGCCTTTGTGCGACTGGCATCAGGGTTTGGCATTCACAGTAGAAGGTTGGAACATCATTATCCTCATTCCCTTCAGGTAAACTATAGAAATTCCAAGCATTAATCGTCCTTAATCCGGTTTCCAACTTCTTCGGGCTTACTTTAGAGTTTAGGGCTTAGGGTTGGGAGCAGCATTTCGGGTCGAGGGGTCTAGGTTTACCACGATTCTAGGGTCTCTTTGTAGGGTCTAGAGTCTAGGTTTATCGTTTGGGTCTGGGGAATACGAGAATCGAGGCTTGGAGGTGTTGAGCTTATATACTCCCCAATGTGGCTCTTTTTCTAGTTCACTCATTGTATAGTTGGGAGCGGACAGAACGATACAAGATGACAAAAAGGAATGACAGTGTTCCGGCCAGGCGGGCAGATGTTTAGCGAGGTGGGAGTGTTCTTATCGTGCTTGAAAAGAGTAGACTTTTGGAGCAATACCCATACTGCCTTGAGCAGTGGACAGGTAAACCCTACACCCAGAAATCGTTCCCTCTCAACCGATGTGTCTTCTTAGGATTCGGGTATTGAGGTCTTTGTGCCGGACTTATACTGGCATTTTGGTAACCAGGGAGGAAGAAGCATAAACTTCTATTTCACAATGCTTCCTTTAAGAAAAACTATTAAAGTATGGTACTCCAAAGCCCAGTATAGAGGATGGAAAGTGTCCCCACTCGAAAGGCTCCCTGTAAGGGTTATTGGTTGGGTTCGGGATCCCCATACGGTGGTGCTTGGAGGTTCATGGTACTTATCATTGAGGTGATAAGTAAGGTAACTATACTTTAGCCCTTATTTGGGGACATATTAACCCTACTTATAACTACCCATGAACCTCCAAGTAGGCCCCAAACCCTATACCTTATAAAATGCCTGAAGATCCCTTTCAAGGGACCCTTGAAGGAACCCTCTGATAACCCTACTTATAACTAGCCATGAACCTCAAACTGGAGTGCAAGTTAGGAAAGCTCATCGAGAAAAGACATTCCGCACCCCGAAGAAAAACCGACCCACGCCTCTGATGCAAGGCTTTTTTGAGGCCCTTTTCGAACTGCAGAACAATTAGAATCCCTATACTAGGAGGAGCCGATGGTTGGGGCCTGGTTTGATTGAAGTAGACAGATGCAAGGGTTTAGGATTTAGGGTTCAGGGGTTTAGGGCCATTGTTCATAGCTCTCTTCCCTCTTCACCTAAGACTCCAGATTCCAACCTGCCCAAAGTAGGTTCAAGAAGTTTATGACCAAGGAGCTGCAAAACAAGAACATAAACAAGAATAAGCGTGACAGGGTCTTGGGTGGATTGTCGACTTGTGAAGTATATTATATTACAGTAGAGGGTCGGGTAGTTGCGGGGTCTGGGAGGCACCAGGAGCTGTTTACTATAAGGGCTTCACGTTGATGCGTGTGACAAAGGCCTTGGGGTGCATTTTGGTCGACTTGTGAAGCATGTCGGCACCAAGAGGCGACATTGTTGCTTCCATACAGGCTGGTGCAATATAGGGGTAGGGGCCTTAATAGTTAGAATAGGGTTTTGGAGGATGTTCTACTATACTTACAATATGGAGCCCCTAAAAATAGTATAATAGGTAGTGAATAACGCCCCTATATTAGTGGGTGGGCTGGCACCCTCCGTGATCACTGCTCTCGGCTCGAGGCACTTTGTCATGAGCACTACTATCAGGGCCTTCATCATTAGAATAGGGTTTGGGGGGTTACTCTACTATAATTAATCATAATGCGGGACCCCGAACTGGCGCAGGTAATTACTTAGGCCTCTATGGTATAGCTTCCCAGCTTGTACAACCCATGACCCTCGACGTTGGCCAAATGTCGAACGGGTGCTGATGACTTTCCCAGGGTAACGGTAAAACCCAAGTCCTCTTAGAGAACCCATCTGGAAAACAGAACCGCGAAATGAGAGCAACCCTAAGCACCCTGACAAACCTGAACCCGTATCGAACACCTAAACCCAGGTAGATCCCTTGTAGATGCCCTTATGAACCCCTGAGTTAAACAAGCACAGGAAACCCTCATGCCCGCAACCCAAAAACTTGTAGAACACCCACAGAAATCCTATAACCCCCCACAGCCAGAACCGTGGTCAAGTCGCAGCTTCTCAGCGAGCTTCGCCAGCGCGGGAAAGTCCGGCTCCTCTGGGCTCAAGCAGGATTTCGGGCGTTTCGGCCTAAGGTCTACCCCTCTAAACCCGAAACCCCTAAACCCTAAACCCTAGGGCTTCTGAGCCTTGGGGTTTAGGGTTTCGGGTTTCACAGACCCCCGCAAGGATCTAGAAAGTAGAGCTCCTAGTTTGGGGGTACTTTAGAGGAGCCCCCGGAGCCCCCTCAAGGGATCTAGCTTCCAAATGGTCCTAGAGGCCTGAAAATTTCGCATGGTTTGGGGCGGCTTTGGGACTTCTGGGATTCTACAGTGTAAAGTTCAAGACTCGTGGGCTTCAGCAGCGACTGGGTTGTAGCGTGCAGAACTTCCAGGGCTTTAGGTATGGGGAGCGTAGTTTGGATAGGGTTTTTGGGAGCTTTTTATGGAACTATTTATATATTAAGGAATATACCTTTAAAATTATTCCTAAGTACCGTAGGTTTAGGGTTCAGGGTTTGGACACAAGGCCTTCTAGACCCTGTAGTGCTGTAAAACTCTTGCAGATGAACAGATAGCTGCTTGACAGTGGGTACTACAAGACCTGTGGATATACTACAATTTACCTATAGGGGCCTATGGGGGGATATTCTTACCAAAATGGTTCCCACCTCGACATGCCACTCGAAAGCCTAAAATCCCCAAACACCACCGCATAGCCTGGAAGTAGAAGCCAGATGTTCCGAACAGCAATACCCTCATGCCCCGAAGGTAAAAGCCCAGGGACTCCCATCACGAATGTTCCCTAAACCCTAAACCCTATAAACCCTAACCCCTAAACCCTAAACCGAAAGCTCTAAAGGCACTCCTCTGAGCCGATAGGCGGTGCTTTTGGCCACATGGCCTCGCATGGGAAGCGGGCTTTTGGGGGCCATGAGGGCTTTGTTAAAGGGCTTGGGGTGACTGCACAGCTTCGGTTGTAGGGTCCGGGGATCGGAGACTTAGGCGATTCTTGTCTCAAGTACCTTATTTGAGGTTCTACGAACTTGACAAGCGTCCTGAGGACCCATCCCAAAAACCCTTGCAAAACCATGAACCCTCTACAACCCGTATACTAGACGCAAGAGCAACCTAGGAAGAAAAAGTGCCCTTTTTGGGCTAACGGGGGTTATGGGGGAACCTGAACCCTAAAACAGGTGATGAGGGCCCCCTCTGGGTCCTAGTCCCGTCTGCCCTTGCAGAGCCCAAAACGAAGGGAATTCTGTAGGTTCGGGTTTGGGTTTAGCAAGCAAGGCGAAAGAAGTATCACGAGCCAAAAAAGCGCTCGATTCAGGCATCTCTCTCCAATCTAGGGGCCTTACTGGCAGTTAGACCATAGGTTATGAAGGTAGGCATATAGTGCAAAAGGAGATGCTGTAGTATATATATATATATATATACACACACACTTTTTATTTATTCATCTAAGAACGTATGTTGTAGCGTGATCATAAACAAGAGCACAAGTGTATGTTATGGTGGTACTACATACATGCTTATGTTGAGCCCACTATAATCAGCCCTGCCCACCAGCATGCTTCGACCACCGTCGCCAGGCGTCCGGGGAATCACATGGATGTGCACATGAGGCACCTGGCAGCGGGGTCCTTTAAGGGTTTAAGGCTTGGGTTTCGGGTTTGGGGTTTACAGATTCGGGCTTCGGGATAGGGTTTAGGGTTTAGGATTTGGGTTCAGGGCTTGGGTTCGAGGATCCTGGGAGCTAGTAGCAGGTGCCTTACTTATAAGATACCTACTTACGAAATTGAAATCCTGTGATCAATGCAAGTGCTGTTTGCAGGTACTGCTACGGGGTGCTTCTATCCGGTTTGTTGCTGCCTACGTGGCCTGTCCATTCCTCGAATG